AAAGGTATCACTTCTAACCTTGCCTTTTGCTAGGGTTAGAGTTTCTATTGTGAATGCATGAGGTAAAGATATCAAGTTTAATGAATACGGATTTATCGCTGATAAAGCTACCTTGAGGTAAAATCCACCTCAAGGTGTCATCCATTCCACATGAAAGCATTTTCAAGGTTGATTTAACTTTGAGCATTTACCTCAAAGTACATTGATGAATGAGTGATAATCCTACGTGGAGGTAGGATTTACCTCAAGGTAGCAACGATATACGGCCACAGAAGTTTTATACTGACGAATTTTCGCTAGAAAAAGCATTTTAAACTATTTTCTATGATGTTTGGCCACACAGGTTTGCCATGAGTTTTATTTATTCAGTCTGACGTTTCGACACTCCGTAGCTGCGTAATGGAGTCATTTGATGTAACGTCACTCTACACGAATGTTTCCAACAGTGATGCTCTTTAAGTGCTTTCTGAGATGACTGATGATTGATGTTTATGGCTATATCGATGTATGGTCACAAAAAAGTGCGTATCATGACTTTTATCAAGGCATGTCTCAACTGTAACAGTGGTTGGGAGTCTATTATTCGCAGATGAGAGGGCTGGCAATAGGACAAAGGTTAGCACCTGTTTTAGTTATCTGTTTCATGAGCAAGATAGAGAGGCCGGTGCCATCAATTATGTATTGTCAATATGTTGATGATTGTCTGACCGTAACATCAACACAGTCCGAAATGGACGAGTGTTTTCTCGTATTGAACGAGCAATCGCAATGCATAACGTTCACCAGAAAGAAACCCCTGAACGGCTGGTTACCGTAGCTTAACACTGATGTTATCAAATGGCAACGTCCACGTGAAATGGTATCGTAAGGGGCATTCCAAAAACATCATTTTGCATGCCAAATCTGGCCATCCGGCGCAGTCAAAAGAGCAGTTGTGCGCAACATGTTTAAAACGGCCGCAAGGTTTGCAGTAGCGAGGAAGAAAAACAAGAATCCCTCAAGCTTGCAGGGGACGTTGCAGAAAACAACGGCTATTTTCCAGCAATATCCAGACATTCGGAAAGAACCTAATGGTAAACAACATGACCAAACTAGAGCCATGATTCCCGTGAGTTTACCATTCATCTCTGACAGGGTCACAAACGAGTTTAAACGTTGTCTCATACAAGCACCAAGATGAGCCAAGATGTTGTACTTGTAAACATTCCTGCGAACAACATCAAGCGACAGCTAGCACGTAATCGTTTATATGACACGGCTTGTATCACACAGAACTGCGTTGTATGTCCTAATGGCAGAGGGGATTGTGCCAGGTTTGGCGTAGTCTAGGAACTCGAATGTTTGGATTATCATGCAACCTATATCGAAGAGACGGGGCGTTTACTCAGCATCCGCGTTAACGAACATCTAGCCAGTAAGAAACGGGAAAGCACGATGAGTCCACTCGGAAAACATAGAGCAGATCACGGCGGTAACGATTTTTGCGTTGAGTGAACGATCTTGGCGTATGAAAGTAAAATTGCGGCTCGCAAAGCACTGGAAGCGTCGTTCATCCTCTCGCGTCAGCCAAAGATGAACGGCAAAAATGAACAGCTATCTGTCACCAGCGATCTTATGCCGTTCATATCGTACCGTCAGTTATAAGATACCCACGACTACTTAAGCTGTTCATTAGTGTGACAGTTCAGTCATTTGTCATCAGTGGGTGGATTGTTAATGAGCGGCGTCGCTGACATTGGTGAGTTGCCGTAGTATGAAGACTCAGTATCGTCCACCTAAAACGAATCGAATGAAGTAACTGGAGGACGACATCGTGGAAAGCAGCGAATATTGAGCGAGAATATCTTTCAGGCCTCTGAGGAAGGCATTACTGACGAAACGTAGGCTGAATAAATAAAACTCATAACAAACCTGTGTGGCCAAACACTACAGAGAATAGTACTACTACCCTATTTTCAGGTGTATAAGCCGCGGGGTGGTCCTAGCTTAAATCGACCAGCCCGAATACATCAAAGGACCTCGCAACCAAAGGACCCTACGCCGTGCTGTGTATTGCCTGAAAGAGTCGTACGGCATAAGGATCGCTTCTCGAAACACAATGAAGTGGCAGAGCAGCCCGGGCGAAAACTTGAAAAAGTGCGGCTTATACACCTGAAAATAGGGTACAATGCCAAGGTCTGACGAACAGAGACCATATGAAATTCTGAACTTTTATATCTTGGCAGAATCTAAAATTGCAAACCCTCACACTGGAAGACAGAACGATTCTGTTTTCATGTTATAAGCTTACCGCAGATGAAGTTGACCTCAACCTCTTCGATAATTTTGAACAACCACAGCAAACAAGCTTGACTAGAGACCATCCGTGCAAAATCAAAGTCGATAAAACCAGCTTTTCTTTTTATAAGCAAAGTCATCGGACGTGTGCAGATGCCCTGGAGTGGTCTCGATCCTAAACTTTTTTGAGCATTCTTCTGCTACATTTCTCATTTCTCTCATTTGCCCGAATACCTCCAATCCCGTAATATGCAGGTCTCCTCTTATTAGTTTGGCTAAAAAATAAGTTCGTTTTGGCATGCAAATCTTTATAGAAAATTTTCCTGTTGTTTTATATCCACGTTTTTTTGTGTAAAAGTAAATAAAAGCTTCCTCTATCACATTACAAATATTTAGGATGTTCTATTCTGTTCAATAAAGACAATTATGCCTCAACATGGCTAATTTTCCAAAAGCTAATTTCTCTGACTTCCTAAGCTTTGCTTTCACGCTCTAATGGATGTAGAGAATAGCAGCTCGGTATTTGGATGCACAGGATTTTCCCTATTTAGTGAATAACAATGAAAACTGTGACCGTTGATCCACTTTGAAAACTTTCATTAAAAAAAAAAACAAATTTCCTCATATTTGCGCACTATGAGAAAATTGGGGTTTCTCACTTGTTTTCAAATTTTTTTCTTTGGAAGATAAGTTCTACTCAAACAAAATTCATACTCCGATTTCCATTGAAGTGGTCCCAGAGATCCCAAAGACTGGACATAAATATGTCTGGAGCATTTGTAAGAGCTACAAAAGCGACCGAAATTATTTATTAGCCAAACTAATAGATATCCTTTTTGATTCTTTTACTTGTCTTTCGAGGGTAAAAAGGAGAAGCCTCACCGGAGTGCTTTGCGAAAAACGAATCTCTCGCAACCTAAAAGTCTCAGATCTACCGTACGATTATCGGATTCGCTGCATTTTATGGCAGCGAATGCTGGCCGTGCACACGAAAAAATAAAGGAACCCAGCTTGGAGTAACGGAAGGCTGCCGAGATGGACCGCAGGCGTGACTATGCTGGACCACGTCTCAAACGATACCATACTTAGCACAATGAAAGTCGCCCCACTCATGAAGAAATTACGGCGTCTTCGACGGTATGGAAATGTGACTAGAAAAGAAGATGGACACATTATAAGATTGGCATTATCAGTGGATGTCCCGAGAAGAAGACAGAGAGGAAGAGCTAAATTAAGATGGATAGATAAAATTAAGCAGACCTAAGCGAACTTGCGTTGAACGAACAACAGGCAACAGACAAAGAATTATGATGCTTACAAGAGTCAGTCAATGTCAATTGCGTACTCCCTTTCGCATGGCATCTAGCAGGCGCAGGGCAAGGACCCTGCATGCGACCTCCAATCAGTGAGGCCGATTTGAGTGCCCGAATCGTACGCATGCGAACGTGACGCGAAGCTCATTGCGTTTACGGAGAAGGGAGCTCGTGATTAACACGGACTGTAGCAGACCCCGAATATGCGGGATAAATGCAAAGATAATAAATAAATATTTTTCCTCTCTTGTGTTCGTTTGTTATGTTCTCATCACTCTTTCATTCAGTAAATCGTTGTGTTCTGTATTGTCCTTCGCTTTTTATAGGCCGTCCGCGCTGCGCACGTAGAGCAACGCTGCAGCTCCACTGAAGATAGTTCATGGCTGGAAGAAGCGCAGAGAAAACAGGCGGCGAGAGTGCAGGGGAAAGAGGAGTGATGCGCAATACACACCTTGCGCATTCTCTGCGCCAGGCGCGGATGGCCTATATCTGTGGCACTGGGTAAACAAATCAAATCGAAAAAAATCGGAGCCTCTTTACAGTCTGCCCCAATCCTAACCAGGCCAAAATTGGCATGGCGGGAGCCCGCGTCGTAGGGTTTCGCGGTCACGCCTACGGCCTGCTTCTCTGCTCTCTCCTCAATCCTTTTGCTCTCTCTCTGACAGCGCGCCTATGCAGCGCAGACCGCTAGCGCTGCGAGCGCGCAAATTCACAGCGACGATTGGCCTGACCCCAATTGGAGCAGACTGTACCTCGGGATTAAGCCGTATCAATGGCGTAAATTTGGTCTGCGCTGCATATGCGCGCTGTCGGAAAGAGCGAAGAGCTTGAGAGAGCAGACAGAGAGAATCCAAGCAGGCCATAGGCGTGGCGCAAAACGCTAGCAACGCGGATTCCTGCCAGGACAATTTTGATTTGAGACACTGTATAATAAGGAGGAGGGGCGGAACGAGGAGGCGGGATCTGGAGGATATTCAGTGAATCTCAGGCTTTCCGGACGAGGTTTTTCGCTCCAGAGTTCACTGGTAGAATAGTGAATTGCCACTGCAATGCTTTGAAACCCCAGTCATCACTTCGCCAGGACGCTGCTCGGCACCGCAAACATTTCGAAGGCCATTTCATCCGAACACGTCCGCAGTGTCTTCGGTGATTCACTGGTGCTACTCAGTGAATGATAGCTGTCAACATTGCCATAGCAACACTTTCTTTTAATATTAACATCAAATCGCTCATTTTTTCACTTCGTGTGCACAACGAACAAGGATTGACCTTGTCGTACAAACTCTGCCGAAGGCACGCGACTCTTGCGTTTTAGTCCCGCCCCAATAACCTTGCCGAGCTTTTGAATTTTCGTCGCGCCGCGCCTATTATCGGTATTATTTAGCTTTAAATTGTTTATTCTCTAGTTCTGCCTAATATTTCTTGTCTGTCATATGTACGATTCTCTCCATATTGCTGGAAAACAAAGTCATGATTTAGGAGTGTGGTCAATATATAGAGATTTGTTTACTTGTTTCCAAAAGGGTGAACAATGTTTGGCAAGTCTACATTCGGAACAACAGGTTCTACTTTTGGTAGTACTGGAGGTAGGTCAAGACGCTTTTCATTGTTTCTCTTGAAGTTAATTTGATTCTTTGATTTTCAGTATCTGTTTTTACTTATACATCATCCAAAATTCTCCGATATTTACAGGCTCTTTGTTCGGTCAAAACAAACCAACAACGAATCTTTTTGGCCAGCAAAGCACACCAGCTCAAAGTTCATTATTCGGTCAGAAGTCAACAACGAATTTATTCGGCCAAAACACCGCGTCTACTGGCTCTTCAATATTCGGTAAATTGCTACTCTCTCATTTTGTGTGTTACGAAAGAGCATCCTCTTTAAGGTTCTTCAAATACAGCTTCAAGTACGGGTACGTCATTATTTGGTCAGTCTAAACCATCGCTTTTTGGTGGGACGTCCACCACCGGAGGTACTTCACTTTTTGGCAGTTCTGCAACTTCTACAGGAGGTGGCTTGTTTGGATGTGAGTAATTACTATCATAGTTTTCAATATGGTTTGATTTGCAATAGTGATGGTGATCTTTGGTAATGCTTTTCATATAAGAAACTGCTGATGTTACACAGCTTTCCAGGATAATTTTATTGCAGTCGTAAACCGTTTTTTTTGCTTGATTTGGTGTCAGCGTATTTTACTTCCAGCCACTACTTCAAATGTCAATGGAACTACTATCAAATTTGAACCTCTCATATCTTCGGATACAATGATGAAAAATGGATCACAAACAACGATTAGCACCAAGCACATGTGCATCACTGCCATGAAAGCCTATGAAGGCAAAAGTTTAGAGGTTTGGTATCTCTTCCCGATTTGCTAGCACTTATATTTTTAACGTTTTGTTTAAAAGCCGACCGCAGTAGTTTTTGGATATTTTTGTGACAAGTCACTGACGAGGTGCCCATCGAAATATTAGGTATAGATAGCGCTTGCGATTTTTGTTGATAATGTATGATTTTGACTTTCGCATAGTTTTGGGTTAAAGGGTAATATAGAAGTATAAATAACTTATTGAGCTGCTTGCAGCACATATTTTTGAAATTTTTAGACTCGAAAATTTATGATTAGTGGCATAAGTGCCTTTTTTTCAAACAAAATTTCCAACAATGTCAACTGTTTTTTTTTTCTGTCTGAAAGTTAAGATTAAGCTGTCGAGTAGTTTACACTGATTACGCCGTGTTGTCGCGACGATGATCTGATTCGTGATATGCAGCACGTACAGCTTCGGAAGGCTTCTGTTTAGGAGCTACGTATTGACGACTATATCGCTAATCGTAAAACCCCGACAGCAGGCGGTGGACTTTTTGGTAGTTCTACGGGAACGACTGGCACAAGCATATTTGGAAGTACTGCAGCAAAGCCATCCCTATTTGGATCATCAACTAGTGAGTTGCTTGATGGCTCGGCAAAGAGTAAGTGTAAAATTTGCACTAATGACGTGTGATCGATTTTTATTTCCCTGCTTTGCTGGATGATTTATTCATATCTCCATTGTTAACCGTTTTACTGGCGTTTTTTTGTAGGCACATCATCACCATTTGGAGCTACTCAGGGCACGTCCTTGTTTGGGCAAAACAATAATGCAACACAAGTGCGTTTATTCCATTAGTAGGCAGAAATAGTTGACGTTATTTTTAGGGATCGTCGTTGTTTGGCAGCAAGCCCACTGGCAGTATCTTTGGCTCACCGGCCACATCAACAGCTTCGACCGGATTTGGAACCACAGGTGGAAGTCTTTTTGGAAACACTGGTACTTCGGTAAGAGTAAGCGTTTGGCATGTTCAGTGGTCAGTTCTTATAACACAGTAATGAAATTTACAGACATTTGGTACAACACAACCGACAGGATCCTTATTTGGTGGCTCTACTTTTGGCTCAACACCAGCTACAACTAGTGCATTTAGCTTTGGTAGTACTACAAACACCGTAAGGTTTACCTCAGGTTTTAATGAATATGTGCTCAACAATCGTGATTTAGACAGCTTCACCTTTTGGCCAAACATCTACGTCGACCGGCGGAGGTTTGTTCGGTTCAAATCCAGCAACCAGTACAGGGAGCGTCTTTGGCAAACCAGCAGGAACTAGCTTGTTTGGAGGAACCACAAATACAACCTTTGGTATGTCTAAATTCAGATACTGATAAGATTTTCGTACATGTCGCTTTGCTTAAAATCTTGCTTTCACTCAAGGAGACTCTCCATTTATTAGGTCAAGCCGCTTCAGGTGGTGGTGGTCTTTTTGGAAGTACGCAGAAGCCTGGCGGGTTATTTGGTAGCACTACAACCGGTGGTAAGTAAGCGTTGCACTCTCTGTTTAGAGGATTCATCAAATAACAATGAGCTTTCTTGTGTGGTTGCTAAAGGGTCTACTTGTGATTTAGTTGAAGATCTGGAAATGCGAGTCTTTCACTTTCACAAATCTAGGTTCTAATTAAGGCATTGTCCAAGCGGCAGCGCAAATGGCTTTTCTATTTCCAAAAATCAGCTTTAAAGACAGCGTCCAGGCAAACTGGACCTATGGTTTATGTTGAAAGTAATTTTGGGGCTTCAACTAAGACACTGCCCAAGCGGCAGCGCAGGTGATTCACTAACGGCTGAGATATACGCCTCCAAACTGGACCCCAGGTTCGTATTTCGCATGGATTCATGGCGCAACCCATCATTTTCGCGCGCTGACTTACGCGAAATTGATGGGCTGCGCCATGAATCCATGTTAAATACGATCCTGAGGTCCACTTTTGAGGGGAATATCTCAGCCGTTAGAGCATTACCTGAGGTGCCGGTTGGGCAATGGCTTAGTTGGGATCCCAAAATTACTATCCACATGAAATCCTCATATGTCCAGATTTGCCTGGACGCTGCCTTCAAGCATGTCCCACAACTGTATCAGGCGCACGACCTGCATCAGCGTGACGGTCCTTGAGTAAAGATGCAGGCCAATACTTATCCGTTGGATGCTGTGAGGACGTGGTTTCAAAAGGATTCTCGATCGAGTGAAGGTGGTTTCAAAAGGATTCTCGATCGAGTGAAGCAATTGCGCTATCGTTTGTGCAGTGCATCAATTAGGGCCTTCACAGTCATTTCCCAAGTAGAGGTCCCAGTGTCCAGACCTGCCTGGACGCTGTCTTTGATAGCCTAATTATGTATATGTAGCTAGGATACCTTCATTCTTGAATTTTTTCCGTTATTTTTTTCAGTGCTCTTGGGTAGTCCCTCCACATATTTGTTGGCGTCACGCTATTGAAATGTATCTGTGTGTTATGCACTTTGTGAGCTGACTGCCATAATCATTATCCGATTTATAATTGTTGAGCTATGAATAGTCTTCATCCTTCAGGCTCATTGTTTGGAAGTCAACCAGCCCAGCAAGGAACGGGCTTGTTCGGTAGCACCCAACCTGCACAAACTTCCTTATTCGGTTCAAATCCTGCAAACCAACAAACAACAACTACTGGTAAGTGTTTTATTCTAATTTTTAGTATGAAAATTGAACAAGGATCCGTGTTCCTCATCTAATTCAAAAAAATATAGGTTTTGGTGCAGCGGCTCCTACAACTATACAGGTACCTGCAGCTGCTCCTATAGTGCTCGGATCGGATGTCAATCAAGCGCAGGTAAGATTTTTTGGTGTATTATTGAGCATATACATGGTGTCAATATTTGACTGATTTCCAGGTGCAAATGGCTTTACTCGATGCACAAATAGCAGCTAGTCCTTATGGGGATTCTCCGTTGTTGAAGTTAGCCACTGCGAAAGATACAGATGACCTGCCAAATCCAATAAGGTGAATGTAGTTTCAGTTTTTGGTGCTTATAGCTTGGTTGATTTGCATTAAAACTGTTTCAGTGCTCAAAGACAGCTGAAGTTTTTAGCTGCGAAAAGCGCAGCATCTTCACCTCTTAACACTTCTATGACAAACTCGGCTAGTGGTGGATCAACATCCTTGAATGGATCCTTGATAAACGTCAAAAGCTCCTTCTTGCCTGTCGTACCGCCAAAGGTGGAATCATAATATTTAAAGAGTTTCTAGGCTAATTCATATTTTTTGCTCCATAGAACATGCGCGTTGCATCGATTCCCGTTCTTAGGTTGCTGATTCCTACAAACCATCTCCAAGAGTCAGAAGCGCAGTGATCCCCGGACGAGATTTGAACTACACTTCACATGTCGCTCCACCTACTTTGGGTAAAGGAATACGAACGAAGCCGGTGAATGGCACAGTATCTCTGTCAAACAGGAGCCTCAATGGAAGTCTTATCAATAAGTCAGTTTGCGCTGAGTTCCTGAAAATATTGACGAATTTCATGTTTTCTCTTTTTTTAGAACCGTAGACTCGGCCATCGAAACGTCTCTCACTGGAGGAGCGAATAGGCCACCAAACTCGGGAAGGCGTGGTAACTTGAAACATTTGGATTTATCGACGGTTGTGCAAGTGATCAACTCTCGAAGCGGTATGGAAGGTGATACCGTGTCTCAAGTACATGATCCTGATGAGTTACCACCCGCAAATGAGGAAGTGATATCTGTGGAGAATAATGGCGTTTATAGGTAAATTTTTTCTGTTCTTGAGGTGATCTTTTCACAATTTTTTCTGAAAAAATTTTTATAGCCCGGAAACAGATCCAAGAGCAGCCGCGCTACAACGTGTGGAAGCTCGTCAAGCACGAGGCGATGTTCCTCGGCTCAGATTGGATGGCAGCGCTTGTGATGAATCTCTCGTCTCGAACAAATCTCCAGCACCTACATCTACTACGAAAACAGCCACAACATCGACAACATCTGTGTCATCCGAAACGAATCTATCATCACCGAGGGTGGTGACATCGGTGAATTCGAAACCGATAGTGCGCTTAAATTCTCCCGACTATTTCACGGAGCCAACTATCAATGCTATGAAGGAAATGGTGAGTGCATAGTTTTGAGATTTTAGCTATTTATGTGTTCCCTTTAGGTTGTCAATGGTAAAGTTATCCTTAACAATGGTTTAACGGTGGGCAGGGCGACCTACGGCAGTGTGTTTTGGCCAGGACGTATTGAACTGGAAGACGTGACTTTGGATGAGGTGAATTTTCGCGGTTTTTTGCTTTTTACATTTCATCAACGTTTGCTTCAAGAAATACAAAAACGTTTTTAAGAGTTAGATTCGATTTTAGATCGTTGTCTTCCGTCACAAGGAGGTGACTGTATACCCGGATGAATCACAAAAGCCACCACTAGGTGAAGGTCTCAATCGTCCTGCCGAAGTCACACTGGAACGAGTTTGGCATGTGGATCGCGCAACCAAAGAAGAAATAAGGGTACGTGATGATCTAATAATAATAATTATGAGCTAATTTGAATTTATTCATTTAGGACCCCATCAAGCTGATTGATCTTGGTTGGCGTGATCGACTGGAAAAAGTGACGGCACGTATGGGTGCTACTTTCAAAGACTATCGCCCTACTACTGGAAGCTGGGTATTCCGCGTTGATCACTTCAGCAAATATGGACTTCCGGTGAGGTTGAAATCATGTATCTGGATTACGAAACATTATGTGACAGGCTTTCAGGATGAAGAAGATGACGAGAATGCTGCAGTGCTACCGAATAAGAAGGCGGATCTTCCACATGATGTCTCAGCACACGAGCTTGACGTTTCAATGGAGGAGCAGCGCGTACAATCGCGGGTTCAGCGTGCTAAAGTGCTCCAGATGAAGACTCTCAACGGCGCGGCCATGGGAGATCATGAGCAGGTAGATTAATTGAAATCTACTGAAAGTACGCTACCATTTGGCTGGGATATGAGTCAGATGAATCCTGGAATCTGGCCCAAACGCATCCTATTTTGTTACGTGAAGTTTGTTTGATTTTGAAGTTGTATTCCTTGCTAATTTTGAACTCATTATTGCAACTTTTCACTCCTCGGCTTTCATTATCAACCATATGACTGTCATATATTTGAATATTTACACTTGAGTTGTTGGATTACAAGTTTCCCCATATTTCTTTACATTAACCTTCGCTTGTTTTCTCCCGGGTGACTGAATTTCTTTTGAAAAACAAATTTTCATTTTCCATTGAGAACAGGTCAATTTTTCATGGGATGTATTTGATAGAAAATTATTCTTTTTATCATGTGAAACTATCATTTTCTGGGAATAAATTGTAGTTGTGCGAGATGAATGTTACAATCTAGGTTAGCTAGTTTGAAATTTATTGTTGGTAATTTGCGCGGAAATGGGGCGTATGTTGACTTACTCACTTTGCAGTGTACAGTAATGCCAAGGAGAAAGAAAAATTCAAGATTGAATGTTTTTCCTTTTTCTGCCATGCTGTTATAACTACAAAAGACATCTGAGGTTTCTAGTTGAAGATGTGCCAGCAAGTTCTGAAATCCATGCTATTTAGATGGAATTCGACGCGGACATCGGTGAGCTGCGCATGCATCCACCCACAACAGATACCAAGGTATGTGTGGCTGAATCTATGCCTGCCTAATTTCAGCATGGTGTACTTCTATATTGTCATGTGGTGTAGTAATCATGTTCAGGCATTATGATTGACATAGAAGTAGATTCACTTTTTTTTAGATCAAAGGCCTTGGAGGTAGAATAGATGCAGATTACGACAATGAATCTATGTATGATGATTACGATATTGCAAACTGGAGAGATGAAGTGCCTGAGAAGAAGCCCAAGATTGATATGGATACCCTGAATTATGTTTACGAAGAAAGCAAGTGAGCAACTTACACCTGGAAAGCATGTTGTCTTGATCATATCGCTTCATTTTGGGCGCCTATTGGAGCTGTCTACACTGTCAGCAAGGCCCGTGCATAGAATTACTCTCAAGTGCAGCGAACCTAGGAATGTGTTCAAGGGCGGCGTTGAGGTATAGGCTGAGTAGTCGTAGTCGCTTATCTGATTAACTGTGCCAGTTTAGGCAAAGAAGAGCGTCGGTTACAAGAAAAGCAGTGTGATGAACTTGGCTTGCGCCCGAGGATCATCTTGCAGGGTTAGCTGGAGTCAGGGTGAGTGCCGTTAGCCTCGCGTGATTTGGATGATTTATGGGGAGTGCGCATTTCGTGTTGAAGATTTACATTTTTTTCTTCTTCAGTTTCACATTATCTTAGAATGAGCTTATTTTGGTATGGTTCAATATTCCTCTTACCATTGGTTTAATATTCCTCTTCCATTAATCATTTATCTACCCTACGGTTGATCCTTGTTGTTGAAGACCATAACGGAATGTAATAGGCTTCATCTGCCTGGCCAGGTGAATTTTCTGGGTAGAGGAACGAACGCCTCAATTAGGTATCGCCTCCGCGGGCTGCTGGTCCTTTCGTCCTACTCTTGTGCATCGTGTTGGGACCAGTGGTCCGCGGAGGCGGTGCCTAATTGAGGCGTTCGTTCATCCACCCGAATTTTCTCAAACATCCAGCAGGCAGTGGCGTACCCAGGTTTCCGGCTCGGGGGGGGGGGGGGCTGACTAAAATCCTTTTCTGATGAAGGTGCGTGGCATTAGCCACGCACCGAAAAAAATTTTTGGTACGCTTCTCAAAATTTTCCAATCGGGCCCATAACCCCAATTTCAAAAAAAAAACGGCGTGGCCTTAGCCACGCCCCCGAAAAAAATTTTTTTATAAGGCTAAATTGAATTATAAAAAATTTTAATTATTTTAATTACTTACAAGTATAAGTAAGTCCCTTGCACATTTTTATTACTCATTTAAGTAACTTTCAAAAATTTCGCGACCCATGCCCCCCCCCCCTTCCGAGAATGGGTCGCCACTGCCAGCAGGCGATATGAAAGTTTTCGATCCTATTCATGGTATCGTGATTACAACATACAGGAAGTGAATTCATTACTTGCCAGTTTGAAAGTTTCTTCATGTTAGGCACTTTCAAAAATTGTATATTTTTTGAGCGGAAAATCAGGCAAACGTCAAAAAGGGCATGTATCTCATGCGTATTTGCCGGCGCTAACGTTTTGGATAGTTAGCATATAAAATAATGGCTCAGTACAGTCATTTTCTTGTGCTTAACAGCGAGGTTTGCAAACCTTGAGAAAGTTGATAACGATTGCAAATGATCGGTCACTTTATGTTACTTTCTAAGCTCACATCTTTGTAGCTTCATAAAAATAGGGAGTTTTGAGCAAGACTTACACCTTACAAGCTTCATAGGTCATAAAGTATTAATTTTCACCAAAACATTTATAGGCGGCCAGTTTGCCTTTTCCACCCAACCATTAGGCAATGATGTCCGAATATGCGCTCTGCAATTTGAAAGCAGCGTGCCGGAGGTAGGCTTGACACTTTTTTGATTGTATCACTTCTTAACTTTTCCTTTCTAGCAACTGATTGTTGATATGCTTGAGCATAATATACGTTTATCTCGTGCCATCCGTCGTAATGCATCAACTAGTGCGAGGATTCGACACGGTGAGATTGAGGGTCAGGCGACAGCGCCGCGAGTGAAGCCGACTGAAGATACGGCAGCACAATTGCTGGACTCGTATCTTGCAACTGCTACGCAGAGTAAGTTCTAGTGAGCAGTGTCGTTATCAGTAGTTTTCTGAACAATTTGGTCAGTAATCTACTTATTCAAGCTTTTTTGCTGTTCGTCACGAAGTCCAAAATTCATCCCTACCACAGTTACTGGTTCAAGAAAACTTACGGTATTATTTTTTTCTAGGTAAATGCTTGTCTCAGCAAAAGGTTTGGAAACTGTGTCAGGCGCTTTTTCCGGCCGAAAAGACAGGTACATTTGACTCATGAAAGATTAGTTGTGCTGTTAGATATGTCATTTCGTCATTGCTCGGTAGAGTCGTTTTCTGAGTCTTTTTTTATCTTGATTTAAGAAGACTTTTTTCACCTAATCATGATTAGCGTTTAGGAGTTCAGAATCGAATTACTCTAACTTTTTTGTTTGCTGGTATAGGCGTTTACGCACGCAAAGACAGGACGCCACCGCGGACGCTGTTGACGTCCTTGAGACGAAACGCACTCTTATCTTAGTTCTTCAAAACTGTTTGTAGTCTCTTTCATACATTGATTATCTTGATCGGATGCAACCGCGTCCAGTCTTTGCGTGCTATGAATTCTATAACAGTGCTCTACATTTTCATCACACCCTTTGTTTGAGTAACGTTTGAATGGGTTGTATGAGAAATTTGAAAATAGTATATACACAGTAGATATTGTCTTCTTGCTCAGTGCGTGATCTAGGCATTTGGCAATGGCAACGGACGCAGAATGTTGGAATCTGGCTTCGAGAAGAAGTAGCAAACCTGTCGAAGAAAACTTCAGGAAGTGGAGGTAGAATTTTTTGTTTTTTTTTTCGCTCCTAACATATTGACGTCATTTCATTTAGCATCTCAAGTTTGGTCACTGCTTTGTGTAGGCAAAACTGAAGATGCAATTCGTGTTGCCGGTGAGGAGGGTATGACAATGCTCTCCTTGATGATATCTGCAACACTTTCATCTGAACATGTGGGACGGAAAGATTGCGCTAAAATGGTATGAAGGCTTTTTGTTAGTTGTGCAGATTTGATTTTAGCAATTTATAGGTGGAATGGTGGGAAATGGATGGAGAGCTTGGAGTCATGGAAGAAGATTTGGTGAAAATTTACCTCGTCCTAGCAGGAAGATCGCATGCGGAGTTTCTTCGCAAAGGAAAGATGATTAAACTGAATTGTCTAGAAGGTCTAGATTGGCGTCAGGTAAATCTTGCATGAATGAGAGTCGGAGGCTGTTCCAGTATTTGATTTTTTTATTCTAGGCTTTTGGTATTCACCTCTGGTATATCAATTGCGGAGGTTTCCTGGAAGATGCTATCGACTCTTTCAGCGATGATTTAGCCGCAGGAAGAGCAGAATCACCTGAATTGCATGTATATGAGCAGGTATTATATGTTCAGTAGGAATTTATGTGCATAGTTTTACTTCCACTGCTTTAGTTAATCCGTTTGGCATGCTCACCAAGCCATCAAGTTGAAGCTGTTCTCGACGCAGCGGCAATGCTGAGCCCAAATCCGCTAGATGCACAACTTAGGTTTGTCGAGATTAATTTCCGTCATTTTTTGCAATAACATCTTGGTTTTAGCTGGCATTTGTGGTCAGTGCTCAGAGCGCTCGGCTACCGTACGATGACACCAGCTGCAGAACAGCGTCTACATATGTCATATGCTACTCAGCTGTCATCGTTGGAGCTCTGGCATCTGGCAATTTTTGTTCTTAGCCATATTAGTCATGACCAGTGGTAAGTTGATAGGAAATGCGAAATTTATGGTAATAGTGCTTGTTTTTTAGCCGCTCCGTTGCTATTCGCGAAGTTCTCGATCGTATGTCATTGACGGCTCGTCCACAACACTATGAAAAAATCTTAGCTATCTGCGATATTCCAAATGAGTGGATTTCTTCGGCGAAGTTCATAAAAGCAAAGGTTTATCTAATTCTTATATTGTAGTTTTACCAAACAAAACTTGACTTTTCTAGTCCCAAGGAAATTTCGAGGCGGCGTGTTCACATGCTTTGTCTGCCGGTAACTATGATGCTGCCTTACAACTGTTTGCTAATGAAGTAGCGCCGAATGCAATCGCCATGGGTGATCTACAGCGGTTGCGGCCACTCGCTGACAAGATGGAGAAAGCTGCTGATAAGATTAGGGTCATTTTTCCGAATCATTAAAGTTTTTTTGGAGTATTCAAATTTTGTAATTCAAGGGTTGGGGAGCTATTGGACAAGTTTATGCCGATTACTGCATGCTAAAAACAATGGATGATGAGGAGGATACCGAAGAAAATGTGAGTAGCGAAAATACTCTTTTGTGCAATTCCAGAGGTTGATTTCAGGAAGAGAAGTTGCATCAATTGATAGAGTCTATTTCCACTAGAATAAAAGCACCTATCTTCAAAACTCCAATACAACGGTGCGTTTGTTTTATTTTCTTTGTAGGTTGCTTTAGCATCTTTTTTTATTTTCGTTTTTTCTTCAAGTTTAGATTTAGACTTTTAATTAGCATCTACCATGCATATTGAAAGCTTTATCAGGTTCTACTGTCGAGAATAATCTACATTGTGCGCCAGCCAAGTAAATTTTCAACTTGCGTTGAGGGGCGTTTCTTTGACACAAGCCAGAAAGCTGCTGTGTTACTCCAAAAAGTATAATTAAAGGCTACGGCATGACGAAGGCGCAGAATCATATTAGTAAAGCGGACGCGAACGCGACGCGCGCGTATCTTTATAGTTGTTAATAATGTTACGCTTCAGGGACCCGTCATACTTCGCCGAGAAAAGCCCAATAGCGCTCAAAAAGCCCGAAAGCGCCAGAAAGAGCCGGAACGCAGAAACGAACTTGTGCTAGAATTCTGACATTATTTTGATGTGCAGACGACAGAAATGAACCAAAAAGATTCGGTTGCGAAATCAACGCGCATTCCTTAGCTCAAAACGTGCGCACGGAAGGGGACGTTCAGGCTCTTTCTGGCGCTTTTGGGCTTTGGGCGCTTCTGGGCTTTTTTTGGCGAAGTATGACGGGTCTCTCATACGCTCTGCGGCTAAGAAAGCCACGTTCGCGCCCAAAGATATTGCGCCTTCGTCATGTAGCAGCCTATATATCCTCTCATGTCGTTCCGACATGAGAGGATATATAGGCTGAATTAGTGCTGATTTGTTAGGAAAAAAAGCTTAGTATTTAGAATGGTTTTTAGGGCATCAAAATCATGTTTAGCGTTGAGTTTTTAATGCTGCGTTTCTCGCATCCCGTACTGAGTCAATGTTTTTATATGCTGCCTTTTTCGTGCTAAAATTTTAAGCACCTGAGTTTTGCAACTATTTTCATAACATCTTTCTTCTTGGATGTGGCGCTCTCAATTCTTGAGTATAATGTAGATTGGACAGTGACCTACAAACTTTTTTAACCCATTTTTGGTGGTCATGGAGGAGAAAATGTGCGTGTTTTTCTAATGCTGTCAAATCAGAATTTGCACTGTGCTAAAATGAAAATGAAACTGTTGGCAGCGTATCAAGTCGGTACCGTACAGAGCTATTTGCCGGATGAGACTTCAACAATCTAGTAGAGTTTCGGCTTGATGTGTTTCATGCAGGCTGAGAACGGTTTGTTTTTAGCCCAGTATAGCTAATATCTAATTTGACCAACTTTTGGAAAATGCGTTAGTTTTTTTTCATTCTTGCCATCAAGAACTTACGGTCTGCGCACATTTGTGGTTCACTTCCTAATCTACATTACATCACAAAAAGCGATGCAGTAGAGAGAGGCTACGAAATTAGTTGCAAAACTTGAATGCTAACCTAATATATGGTTGAAAATCTCTTCCTTCGTGTTTATCCGAAATTACAGATTATGCATGAAAACGATGGCGCGAGAGCTATTTGAAATCCAAAGACTAGCCGGTAGAATCGATGTCAACTTGCCACTAAGCACTAGTCAACTGCGACGACTGGCTGCCGTCTAATTCTGGTGTTTTAATTGTGACGAATTGGCTGCCGTAGAACCAAAACTTTTGTGTTAATCTCTTCACTTTACGATACTCGTTATTTGCTTCGTCGTTGTCTTTTATGTTATTTCACATCATGTGATAATCGTGTTTCCTATGCTTGATACTTGTCCCCTTCTTTTTCACATATCCTATGCTATGCTCTCACCATCTTTGACTAGGAACGTAAAAATTTTGCTGTTATGATTACACTTGTTTCTATAGTGACAAATTGTATGAGTGTATATTTTTATTGTGAAGTTTAAACAAAGTGAAGCTCATTTTTTATGATGTCATGGTATTCAATGTGTTGTAGTCATAATATTGTGTAGTTCAGACACATAATTCACAAGGTTTATTACACAACTCGACAAAGCGCAGTCGCAATGATTGATTTAGTTGTTGCCTCCACGGAGACGAAGCACCAAATGGAGCGTTGATTCCTTCTGGATGTTGTAATCGGAAAGGGTACGACCGTCCTCGAGTTGTTTGCCTGAAATGGAAAAGATAAGAATGGCAATAAGTTCTAGGTAGACTTGGTTTATCATTATCGAACTCAAAGGTCAAACTAACCGGCGAAGATGAGCCTCTGCTGATCTGGTGGAATGCCTTCCTTGTCTTGAATTTTGGCTTTCACATTTTCGATGGTATCAGAAGCCTCAACTTCCAGGGTAATGGTCTTTCCGGTCAACGTCTTCACAAAAATTTGCATTCCTCCCCTCAAACGGAGCACAAGATGGAGGGTAGACTCTTTTTGGATGTTGTAGTCCGAAAGAGTACGGCCATCTTCAAGCTGTTTTCCTAAAAATTTACAAGAATCATTTCTCGATTTGTAGAACCTTTGCTACAAAATTGCAGCGCTACCATATTTATAACCCGCTTACCGGCAAAGATGAGCCTCTGCTGATCTGGTGGGATGCCTTCTTTGTCTTGGATCTTTGCCTTGACATTTTCGATAGTATCCGAAGCCTCGACTTCGAGAGTGATGGTCTTTCCAGTTAGGGTCTTGACAAAGATTTGCATTCCTCCTCTAAGGCGAAGTACAAGATGGAGTGTTGATTCCTTTTGGATGTTGTAATCAGACAGCGTTCGTCCGTCTTCTAATTGTTTTCCTAAAATGTACAAAAATTGAGACCTAGGTGTTCAATAAAAAAAAAATCCATCCTCTACCAAATCTAGAGACTACAAGTCAAGTTGAGCTTGCTTACCTGCGAAGATAAGTCGTTGCTGATCTGGAGGGATGCCTTCTTTGTCTTGAATTTTAGCTTTGACATTTTCGATGGTATCAGAAGCTTCTACTTCCAGCGTAATGGTCTTCCCTGTCAGCGTCTTCACAAAGATTTGCATTCCTCCTCGGAGACGTAGTACCAAGTGAAGGGTGGATTCCTTCTGGATGTTGTAATCCGACAAGGTTCGTCCATCTTCGAGTTGTTTTCCTAGAAAAAGAAATTGAAGTGAAGTTGAAAATCTGATGACTATCGCGGCCAGTTAAAGTCTCAACTATAGGCTGTCTCAATGAAAGTGTCACAACTCTAGCGGCTCAGGTCTTCACGGCCAATTCCTTTCGACTTTGCGCAGCGTTCGAGTATCCTCTGGACATTCGATATATGCCCAAAGGATACGTCTACTAACACGCACAAGCCCGCGCGAGGCGGCCGATGACCTGAGCAGCTGAACTGGTGACACTCTGACTGAGACAGTCTATACCTACGATATATCGCTCTGAGAGCAGATATATTGCAAACGCACCAGCGAAGATCAGACGTTGTTGATCAGGTGGGATTCCTTCCTTGTCTTGGATTTTGGCTTTCACGTTCTCAATCGTGTCAGAAGCTTCGACTTCCAGAGTAATGGTTTTTCCAGTGAGTGTTTTCACAAAGATTTGCATTCCTCCGCGAAGTCGTAGAACTAAGTGAAGTGTGGACTCTTTTTGGATGTTATAGTCCGACAGGGTTCGTCCATCTTCGAGTTGTTTACCTGAAACATTATTTCATGATTGCATGAAGGGCATCGTAATATAGAGTAGACATTTCCTCTTTTTGTCTGTCTCAATGTATGCAATGACTCACCGGCAAAGATAAGTCGCTGCTGGTCAGGTGGAATTCCTTCTTTGTCTTGAATCTTGGCTTTTACATTCTCAATCGTGTCAGACGCCTCAACTTCGAGTGTGATGGTCTTTCCAGTCAAAGTCTTCACAAAGATTTGCATTCCTCCTCGGAGACGAAGTACAAGGTGAAGAGTGGACTCCTTCTGAATGTTATAGTCCGAAAGAGTGCGGCCATCCTCGAGTTGTTTTCCTGTAAAATTTAAGACTCGTTATCATCGCCATTACAATCATTATTTTCAACTTACCGGCGAAGATAAGGCGTTGCTGGTCTGGTGGGATACCTTCTTTGTCCTGGATTTTGGCCTTTACGTTCTCAATAGTGTCTGAGGCTTCGACCTCCAGTGTGATGGTCTTGCCAGTCAAAGTTTTGACAAAAATCTGCATTCCTCCTCGGAGACGGAGCACCAGGTGGAGTGTGGACTCCTTCTGGATGTTGTAGTCCGAGAGAGTACGGCCATCTTCGAGTTGTTTACCTAAAAAACTACCTAATTGATTTGGAATCCCTCTAATTGCAATTCATGAAAAAACTAACCAGCAAAGATTAGTCGTTGTTGATCAGGCGGGATACCTTCCTTATCTTGAATTTTTGCCTTCACATTTTCAATCGTATCCGAAGCTTCCACCTCAAGGGTGATCGTCTTTCCAGTAAGCGTTTTTACGAAGATCTGCATGCTGAAAACGGGAGACTACGGTAGTTTGAATGCTCACGTGAAATGCGTTATGAGCGATGACAGTGAGTCATAAAAGTCGACGCGGACAGAAACTAGTATGCAAAGCTGAGTATTGATTTGTACGAAGCAAATGGAATGAATGAATTTACTTGCAAATTTAGTGAGCAAGGATGTGGTATTGAGAAAGTGTATGGGAGTTTTGCACAGCATTCCAAACACGCAAATTTCAAAGTTATGAACACTGTGAAAGTAGATAACAAGCATGGAATTCATTTTGAGTGATTGAAGTGCAACGTACGGATGGTAAACATTGACGGGGCATGTTCCGTATCCAGGAGAATCGATACACTTTTTGCTACAAACGGAAATAGCAAGCACACCACCCCGTCTGGAGTATCTATGGAAGATTTTAGACTTTTGAAAGCGAACGGAAATTCATTACTGACAGATCTTTGAGGAAGCACCGCTTTCGAAACGAAACACTTGCCAAGAAGTTCATGTCCATTGCCATTTCGTAACAAAAAATGCCACATTATCTAGTTTGAAACCTCGCAGAGAATACAAGGCAGAAGTTAACTTAGCCCCCCCCCCCCTCCTCCTTGAACAGAAAAATGAAAATTAACAATTCAGAAGAGAAACAACCAGCCACGTCGTCCAACCAGACGCCGTGTACTGAACATTGGCGTCGGTGTCGGAGGACGCAGATCGATATGCGAGTGCGCCCCGCCCATCCCCCCGGGGGCGGAGCCTTATCGGGATCAGCTGATTCATCGATCTGTAGTGACAAGGACAAAGATCAATAAATCGATAATCAAGGATCAAGGATAGAGCTAGGTTAATAAGTAAAGATAGACGTTGGCTTCATAATCGAGCAAAAAAGGATCAGGGTGGTGTTTGATGAACAGGTGAGGCTTGTTTATCACAAGTGCAGACACGTGCGGACTCGTCCGCATTGCATTAGCTGACGCGTTGATAGCACCTTGAGGCATTTTATAGAACAAGATGAGTCATGTCAGAAAGTATTGGAACTTTCGAGAAACGTATAAAATTTTCTGAAAACAAACATTAGGCTTACTCATAAGATTGGTCACTATCTTTTTTTTTGCAAAGGATCAATGTCTATAGTTGGGTCAAGATACTAGTTATCAATCTTTGTAACATAACCTAACGATTGACATGTGTTCATGTTTTGCAATGTTTTTGGATAGCGTAGTGCTGGCGACCAGACGATTAACCAGTTTTAGAGTTTCGATTGCGAAAGTGCCTTCATCTTGATTTAGCCAGGCACTTGTCTTTTTTTGCATTTGATGACAGGAATGACTTGACACAAAGTTTTAAAGTAGGCACACTCATGAATTTGAAATGTTCAGTCATCGTTGATAAAGACAAATTTTGTAGATAACATCTAATCTATCTAATGTATAAAGAATCGTAGAATCGTAAGGTGCATTCAAAAATCAGATAGCGGGAAACCGAGTGGGTCCCGAAGTGAGCGCGCCTGCACCTAGCAGCAGCTTTGAGATTACTGGTTCGCTAGTCTGGTATAGGAAATCAAAGTTTTCAAAGATTGTTTTTTTCTACAAGTTATGCATAGTTCCAAACTATTAGCGCGGTAGCAGTGGCATATCCATTATTTCCGTTTGGGAGAGGGGGGGGGGGAGGGCAACAAAGATTTTTTTCTCATGAAGGTGCGTGGCGTCAGCCCCGAAAAAACTTTTTATAAGGATGAATTGACTTTTGATTTTTAAAAATTGTATTAAGTGTTTACAAGTATAAACAAGTCGCTTGCACACTGGGTAAAAAAATTGTTTTGCTCCACTACTTAAGGCCAAAATTGTTCGAAAGAAAGAGCAAAGAGCATCCATTCGATTATTTAAGGAGAATTCTAAATCGCGAAGGCAGTCGAATCCCAAATTTTTTCGGTTTCAAACACCACGTATCTAAGTCAGCAACTCTACTAGATATTTCGAAGATATCCTTGAAATTGCTATCTTCTGGTATCCACTACGATTGCAGAAGACTTTTTTCTTGTAACTTCCGTACGTAGCGAACATACAGATGTGTGGGCAGGATCAAGGCTGATATGGGCGGGGTTTGCCATTTTATAATACCTCCTTTTTTCGTTTTTGATCCTATAAAGTTACGCAGATATGCAATATATGCTGCTTTTAAGGCTTAACAATGAAGAACTTCGTCAGAATCTCCAGAAATTTTTTATAACCTGATGAAATACAATTTTTTTCCTTTATAACCAGTATCTATGATCTTCGATGTAAAAGGGGCAAATTCAAAGCCAAGCGAGCCGGAAACAGACTTTGGGCGGAGGTCGAATTGAGGTCAATGGGCTCTCTCTGTTGGGAACCAGCACGGTTATTACCGATGTTAACCCGAGTGACCTCATACCTTGTACAAACAGCCTGCAAGCAGAATCACTTAGGCAAACCAACCTCCTCTGCCAGTAATTCAACACGAATTGTCTGACATCGACATAATTTCATTGGCTCTTATCGAATGCCATGCATAAATGAACAAAAACATCTGCGATGGGCGTCCGAGGAGACGCAGACAATCAGCGAGCGGCTTTTTTCTCGGGATGCACTGCAGCGAATGGAACAAAACAGATTGCAAATTTTGCCCAGATCGATTTGAAAGCCGAGCAGCGGTTGATGGTTGAGAGAATGTGTGTGCAGGCCCTTGTTTTTCTCGTCCTAGCGTGCACGACTAGAATTGAATGCATTAGAGATCATGTGGCGTGAGCGATGCGAAGAAAACAGAGTAATTTGTCATGACATGGAACGCTAGACCCTATGTCAAAATTCTAATAATATTCAACTTATACCCAACATTTTGCATTTAACTATGCTTATAACTTATTGGGAAGGTTGTTTAGTCGAAGTGGCCTTTTTAAATGGGATGTGTACCTTAATGAAGGGCATAAAATCCAGACCTGCTTTCGTTATCTGTAGAACGTTTATGGACGAGAACTTATGAGCGTTTTTTTTGGAGCGAAAAATTAAATGTGCATATGGAATGAAATGAGTTGTTAAAATCTTACTAGCCATCAAATAATGCAGCCAAGGTGATATATTTTTTAATTTAGAGTATTTTTTGAATAGAGCCCTGATGATTATCACTGGTCCATTGAAGAGCTAGAAAAAGTAGGCTATTTTTGTCCTACTTGCACAATCATTTTTTGCTCTAAATATGCGCTTATAACCCCTCGTCCATAAGCGTTCTGCAGATAAGGAAGGCAGGTTTGAATTCAGCATCCTATGCCTTTTAATATGGTAGACTTCCATTCATAAAGGCAATCTGACTAAACATGCTTATCTTGTTAGATTTTCCACGTAAAAAATGGGGTTGGAAAGCAGAGAATGTCGTTTTTTCAAAGTAACAAGACAAATCCAAAAAACATTCGGGGAAGGGGGGAGGTACTCCATAGAGCAAAGTAAAGCTCTATACAAGAGATCCTCGAGCATTAGGGTAAACAGTGGTTTATGTGGTTTGAAACATAAAAAGAGCAACTCAATATAATGCCCAAAATAGGACTTTAGTTGAAACTGAAACTGAGAAGCGCTATTGGCAAACTCCCTCCCACATTCTTGAGCTCCAGCAGTTTGTGCTACCAACCTCAAAAACTTTAACGGAATGGTCTTTAAGATGCCTTAATTCTTGAGAAATGTCAGTTTCACCTGAAAGAAATACCGAGAAAAGCGACATTTTTCCAATAATAGTTTCAACTTGCAAAAAGAAGGGTTGAACTCCTTTATAATAAGATTCTTGGGAAATCTTCGGGGTAAAAGTGAATGATGCACGGATCATTTCAGGAACAGGAAAGCTACAGCGATAACGTATAGAGTATCGAGCGGATCGAGATTTGAAAAAAATGTACAGCACTTGCAGGCCAAAAATTCGTGCAGTGGAAAGAGTTCACAAAAGGTTTTCAAATGATTGGCGAACTATAATGTTGCGATCTTATTCCAGCCTTGTTTCAATTATGAAAAATCGGAAACCTATTTTTCACGAGATTGAAGTAGCATTTTTTGGCCAATGTAGGAAAACCCCATGATTTGTTATGCAAAAAAGAAATTCCTCGAGAGCTTTAGCAGCTTTTAGCAAGTCTTATCTTCTTGCAAGTTGTCGAGGCTGCATAATTTCAAAGCTAGGAAGTACCACTATGAGAGCATTTGTCTGCGTTTAAGGATAGTTTTAGTTACTTAACATCCAACTAATTCTGTCACTTTTCCCCTTACTAGGCACTCCCTAAGAAAAATCAGTTTACCTGGGGGTAGCTGAAGTGGAGATTGGGCAGTTCGACTTTTAAGGATTTTTTTCCCATTCCCACATCTTAGGTAAAATGCCGAAAGTGATGAACAGTGAGACCAAACGAAAAAAAACAAGCTACTAAAACCTTCTAATGACGAAGATTCCCCTATTGTATCATTAGCTTGCTCTATAATTCCGATAGTAGTACTCTATAAAATCCATATCTTGTTTGCTGTTTTAAATTGAAATTGCTAATGAAGAAAAATCTAATTTATAGAAAAAGATGTATGGCTTAGTTTAGCTCTATTTTTCTTCTAGATTTGCACTAACTGCAAAAGATGTGTAGCAAGTTATTGCTAGTGAGTTCAGAATATTTCTTCAGCAGTGCTTTCAGTTATTCCTCCTTACTTCAGCAAACAATTTGAAAATTACCCGTCATTTGTAGTAATTTTTTCGTAAGCTCAAAGTTCCTGACAAAATGAGAAAAATAAAAGAACCAACCCTAAAAATGAGGCATGATTGAGATGGATCAAAAAAAATTTTTTTTTCAGAATTAAATCATGACTAATAAATTTTCGATATTTTTTCGAAGATACGGATTGCTGTTTTTTTCTTTCAATATCACGTGAATTTCAGCTTCTCAGTGAAGTTGATGAAGGTGAGATTTACGATCGGCGGCTGAAGTGCCACGTACAAAGTTTGAGCACCAAAAGATCTGTGTGCAAATCTTGATCGGGCGCTCGTCGATATTGAAATTTCAATATGATGTGATTTTCGATGATTCAGTTCAAATTGATTATTATTTCGGGCTGATACACATCGTTCGTAACGCCAGCCAGATGTACAAAAATACCCAAAACTCCCATTAGGACAAGACAAAATACACAAGAGTTGCTCCATGCTAGAAAGAATGACTTGACGTCACTCAGTAGACTGGAATTCTTGTAATATACTGTATTGTAAAATTATGCCTGATCAAACAATGAAGGTTCTCTTTGCTTGATTTACTTTTTCACCAACATCGCTTCATCGTTTTTTGCAAAGCAAAACCTACCTAGTTTAGAAAATTTAGATGCGACGAATGTGGATCTTTTGAGCACGATTTTTTGAAGAAATAGTTTTGTAAAGTTTATGATAAGCACGTTTTACGTTTCTTCTAGTTGGCGCAGCCATAGTGCAAAACTAGAGTCTAATTTGTTCTGCCTTTCAGTTTTTTGAAATGATTTTCAGGACATTAATCTTTTTTTCACGGATGGCGCTTGTTTCATTTTGCAGTTATAAAAAGTTAAAAAAGTTGATTATTATTTCGGGCTGATACAGCTTTTTAGAAGTTTAATGAAGGATTAGCTCGATCGCATAATCATAAAAATCGTGAGATGCTTGAAAAATTACTTTCGAAAAGGAAAGAGTAACAGGAAAGTTTCGATACCATTTGCTCACAATTCCGTATCATTCAAATGTCAAGAGCTTTGATTCTAAAACAAGAATTGCATTCCACGACCTACTTTCGATTCAAGTGGCTGGCGGCTGGAAGGCAGAGCTTCGTGACCCAATCAAGGCTAGATAATGTTCAGATAGCACGTGCGCGACAGAGACGCAGACTGTGTCGCGGGTGCAAACGGCCTTAATTGGTTCACAAAGCCTCGCCTTCCAGCCTCCAAGCCAGTTGAATCAAAGGTTACTTGTTAATGCAAGGTTGTCCTTGAAATGCCGGAGGTGCTATAATAAGTGTTCTATCTGCGAAATGGTGTTTTTTTTTTGAAAAACCTAGCACTGAAGCATATGTAAGGTTGAAACATAAGGGTTACACAAATCAGGTCAGAACAGCAATAAGTAATATTTCTTATAGATTCAGTTTCCAAAATATCGAGCAAATTAAGTTCTACGAAATGGTGTTGAAAATCTACCACTCTCTTTGATCCATGCGGAGCATGAAACGAAAGACTAAAAGGATTCTAATGTCTGAAATATGAAGAAAACTAAGGCCCCGGACAGACTTCACGCGATTTGATCGTCGCGACTCAATCGCCGACATTTCCATTCATTTTCATTTCACATTCAAAAATTTCGGGCTGGAAAAGTATCACAACCGAAATGCAAGTTGATCGGCATGGAATGATGTTGTAACAGTTGTCTCGACGCGATTCAGTCGCGACGATCAAATCGCGTGAAGTCTGTCCGGGGCCTAAGACCCGTTTAAAAATGCTTGAAACCCCACAGAATTGACTTGTTCACGCATATATACAATTAATCAAATTTTCACATAGCGGTTTCGATCAAACATGCTGTTGCCTTTTCGTTTCACAGCTAGAAAGCGGAAAAATTTTTTCCCAGTTTTTAGTGAAGCATTGCAGCTGATCCCCCTCTATTGTGTGCTGCAGGTTCTCAAAATTACAACCAGTTGTTATTCGAGAAATATCAAATTCAGTTAAATTGACATGGACAAGTTGATTAAGGTGAGGTGGAGCCGATATTTTTCAAGTAGTTCTCGTAGAAGAGGCTGGAAATTCACGACAGTACCTAGGGTTGTAGTATTCAATTGTTAGTGTGGGAACGTCTCAGCTTGGATAAAAACTGAAAATTTTCCCTTTCTCGATTTCTCGCTGACAAGGAAAGCGTGTATAGTCGAAGTGGCCTTTTTAGATGAGACCCATACTGCTTTGGAGAGTATCGAACAGTCATTCCAAATCTGCCTTCATTATCTGCCAAGCGCCTCTGGACGCCGACTTATGGACGTTTTTAGAGTCAAAAAATTAAACGCAAAATTGAAGCAAAATCGAACAAATTTGCTCAAATGGTCCGATGTCGAGTATCAGAGCAGTTCATGCAATGGATACATTTTGTGTAGTAGCTAATATTTATCGTCGATTCGTTGGCCGCACGGACTGCTCAAATGCTGCGAACCACGCGCGGCGCGGCTGAAATGTTGCGAGAGCACGACTTGTACAATGACGAATTTGTATTGGGGCAAGCGTCTTACCTTGCGGCGCGTGCTCCACGGTGACGTCCGTCCGCGCGGTCAACGAATGGACTATAACATTGCTTTATCTGACTGCTGGAAAGATCGTAACAAATTTTTTTACCTAAATTTTGCACCCATTTTTCGTTCCCAAAAACGGTCATAACTCGGCGTCCAGAGGCGCCAGAATGAAGGCAGATTTGGAGCCACCGTGCAATGCTCTTCAAAGTGGTATGAGTCTCATTTAGAAACACCACTTCGACTAGACACGCTTTCCTTATGAGATAAAAATACGCCAACTACATAGATGATTCTTTGATGTCGAATGTTTATGTTTGAAAAGGGTAAGGGTTTTTTGAGCAAAATTCGATTTTTTTTAACTTTATCCAGTATTTAGAGCCCTATAGTTTTCTTCGCATAAATCAGTTAGTGCAAACGTTTACTTCGCTCTGTCGTATGGTGTTCCAGAATCTGTTTGGGATCTATGGAAAATATGACTTATTGTTGTTGCGACCTATTTTGGTGCAAAAAATGTTCCAACGCAAAATTTGTTGCCAAAAAAATTGTAGAGAATCAGTAAATGCAGGTGGATAACTATTTTTTAGTGACGTCCGTTACGACCAAATGCGCGGGCTTGTCGCTAGCCGGTGGAGTCGAGACCTCTGATGACGACGACAATGTTGAAACGTAAGGTCAATAAAGTCCTTCACCACAGAATCTGAAGGCGCAGACTACTGACGCAATTACTCTGCTGTAGAGAATCATTTTCACCACAGGAACAGGAAAACCCCTACACTTATCCCGTTACTTTTTTTCAGTGGTACGCAGAACTCGTGTCAAGAAACCATGGCAGTAATGAAGAAGCCCTCCCACACTTCATAGGATCGCTCATACGAAGTTTTGTTGCTATATGTAATCCATTTCTAGAAGAGAGGTCGTATATTCCTTTACGCGTATCCATTAGAAGCCCAATGAAGGGTTTTGTCGCTGGATAGATGTCATATATATAATTCTTGACTGGTAATCTTATCTGAAATATTCACACGTCATTCAGGTCTACCTAGATACGAAATCGTGTAATAATTTGGTCGATGTCTGTTCCTATGATTTGCATCAATTCGATAAATGGCAGTTGATCTATTTGATCTGAATAATCGAAACCTAGTTATTTACGGGAATGAACAGCTGTTTTTTACGAAAATGTTTCATAGAATGAGTAAACTAATACTGTATGTTTTTGTGGCCGAGTAGAGTATATATTATTGTCATCCTCATATTTTCCCTTTTGTAAAGCAGTTCAACTTCTAAATGTTTTTTTTGTCACCTCTTTAATGTGAGCTCTTTGCTCGTTCGATCCCACAGAGGACATAGGGAAATTTGAGATTTTATAGCTTAAACCAAACAAATCGGAGATCGTGAGAAAGCTTTTGGGGAATGTAAAAGGCATAGCAGGACATTTTTGTTTGATTTTCCTCCAATTCGGCCCTAACCTGCCACAAACCCAAGAAATCCCAACCAGTTCCTTAGCTGTTGGTAAACATCGTCTCTCATCTGTTTTGTATAGAATCAGTTTGATATCTATTTCTTACAGGGACGAAAACTTGGAAACGTATTATCTAACATACGGTCAATATTTATTGATTTTCTCATCGTTCTTGTTCTGAAAAAGAAAAGGCTCTGTCAGGTCACAGCGAACGTTCAGCTTCTCCTTGAAATTTCAAATTAACTTCCTCTTTACCATAATGATCTAGCATTAACAGCATGTTAAGCTAGCAATTTATTCGTGCTTTCGCTCATTTATGCAATTTCTGGCAACATTCATGGGTTGTTCCTATGAATAAGTGGCCAAAATTCTGGTTACAATGATATTTTAACTTTGGTTCAACTGATTTGGCGGCTGGAAGGCGGGCCCTTGTGACCCAAATAAGGCCGCTCGCGCCCGCCCGCTACGCAGTCCGCGCCTCTCTCGCGCGCGTGCTCCTGATCATTACCTAGCCTTACTTAGGTCACAAAGCCCCTCCGTCCAGCCGACAAGCTAGTTGAATAGAAGGGTAATTACTTTGAAACAGAAGGTACTTCACCCATGAAAGGCTTTTTTCACTCCAAGTTGAGGTGAATGTTGAGCACATTGGAATGATTAATTTCACCTAATACCAGCTTCTATGGAGGGAAATGCAACTGCTTTGATTTGCTATCCCCCAAAAGAGAAACTGACCTATGGCCTAACGCAAACATCAATTTTCACTCCTGGGATTGCTAGTTGTTTGCTGTTCGAACACTTGTCTAATCATCAATCACCCCAAATGCAAAAGCAACTGCTTCGATACTTTAAGTACTTCTTGCATAGCCATCTGCAACACCTATCACTGCCTAGAATTTTGCGTGGTTTTGTACCGAGTAAAGCTTTTGCTAATCTGGTTTATCATACTCAAGAGTTTAGATGGGAAAGGTTCTTGCGACAGTAAAAGTACATTCAATATCTATTACTTATTTCCGCTGACTTCGTCGAGTACATTTTGAAATAAACATTTACCAAATTGTAGGGCAAAGGTGAGGCTTAGGGCTAGGAGTGCACCCTAAAAATGGTCTCCCACCTGTTTTTAAACTGGAATAATCCTCCTTTTATGTATAGAATACGTTCCTGGTCTAAGAAAATTCTGTAGACAAAGCAGTTGCAGATCTTTAGTTCTGTTTAGTCAAAGTAAATCCAGGATGAACACCGTAAGTCGCTTTTATCATCTATTCAGAAAGTAAGGAATATTGGATACCTAGACTCAGTCCACCAGAAGCCAAAAGAGGATATGTTCATCGTTTTTACTCTGGTGTTCATCGTTTTTACTCTATTTCTAAGCATCAACTCATCCGTAAGAGCTAAGTTTATACAAACCTTGGCCAAGGGGCGATTTCTGACGGGTTTCTCGCCGCAGTATTGCTACCTTATAACCTTCAATTTCTCAGTGTATAGGTGTTTAAGGGAATTCTTAGAACTTTTTTTTGGATGTAGAGGATCTTTTCAACAAGGTATTACAAAATTAGCACGACATTTTGCAAATGACCTGCTTATGGCAACGTGCTGAAGGTTCAACATTTATCTTTTTTCTCACATTTAAAAGGACATCTGAAACTCAAAAGTGGCAATTTGATTCGAAGTTTCAATTAACAAGCATTATCTACGAATCACTCTAATAAATGTGAATCAAATCTAATTTAAGCTAGTCGGAGCAAAATGACTGTTATTAGAGTGAAAGGTTAAATTGCATGCACTGTAGGTCGATTAGACCTTACATTGCTAAAATTTGCATCTATCGAATGGGGACCACTCATGACTTTATGTTTCTCCATTTTCCAAAATGTATTGGTAGCAGCTACAATCGAAATTAAGCTAAATCTGTGCAATTTTTTCCTGTTTTGCTTTTTCTGAAAAGGTCTATTCTGTACATTTTTTATCTATTTTTGGATTTTTGAGTTGATTTAACTTTGAAAAAAGTATTTGAGAGAAATAGAGACTTGAAATCAGCAATTCTTGAAGACATTGTCCAGGAAATTTTAATAGTTTTGGGGACCTGGACTTCCAGTGTGGGTACTGATTGGGAGCCTGTAGCTCCACTGCTCAAGTGGCGGCTCATTTAATTTGCACTTAGCTGAATATTCCACTCATTCCACTGTACTGCAAACTCTCGTCTAGTACCGTGTCCGAGAAACCAATGCGCGCTTCGAAGTACGGTACTGGGCGAGAGTTTAGAGGTGGGTTTCTCGGTCAGGAATCAACCTTACGAGCTGCCACTTGGCCAATGACTTAGCTAAAGCTTCCCAATCAGTTTCACAGTATGTGGAAGCAACTTTTCAATCCCGATCGGGTGCTGTCATAGCGCCCGCCACTTGATCGGAAGCATGTTCAAGCGGCGGAACAGCGCGTAGCGTTCCCAATCAGAGTTCATTCCAGAACTTGATAAATGTAAACCCTGGATAATTTCCTCATTGAAAATGAACTGAAATATGAGAGCCTCGAAAATGGCACACGTTTACTGATGATATCATCGTAAGATATAGATCGAGTACAAAATAGATTTTTTAATGTGAACGGAGAAGAATGGGATACTTAGAAAATAATTATGAGTTTATCAAAGAAGGAATGTTTGAATTTTTCGATTAGATCTTGAAAGATATCATTCTCTTACAGAAAATAACTATAGTTGTTGATATTACATCTATTTCCATTATTTTCGGTTCAGCCTAGAATTTTGCTAAACCCGTTTCCATTTTGTCATCAAAATTTCTGCAGCTTCAACGTCAAATCTTTTTTTCTCACGAAGACATCTGTCAAAACTAGCAAAATGGCAACAAACAACGAAAACAAAATGAATTCTCTCGCCTGAACGATGTGTCCGTCGAGGCTTGCTCGCTCTTCAACCGCAAAGAATTTTGAGCCTGCGCATTCTCTCCAGGGATGAACGATGCGAGAGCGACATTCAATTCGCGCATGTTCAGCTATGGTCCCTTCTTCTTCTTATGGATCACATGATGACAAACGGTTTTTTTCCCGCTTTTGTTGCAAAAGATGTTCATTGATGTCTGATGCTTAGAGTTTTTTTGGCAATCTGTCAAGTGCGATGTGTGATTGCGGACTTTGGTGCCTATTAAGCCTCAAAGCGGAAATCAGGAATTTGGCTCCAAGGATCTCTTAGAAAACCTTTCAGCTTTCTGGATGTACTACCTTGATTATGTCATAAATGCGCTTCAAATCCATTTTACAGAAAATTTTCATGGCAAGCCTTTCTGGATGTACTACCTGGAACAAAATGAATTTTCAATAAAAAAACTTTATGAGCTTCAATTGTTAACATAAGGATGAGGAAACAGTACCGGTATGAAATTCTTCAAAGTGGGCGGAGGGAGGGGGGGGGGGGGAGGCGACAGGCTCGAGTTAAGGGCGTAGCCCTAACAGGGCCACCTTCAAAAATTGGTTTCGCGATACTTCTTAATTTTCTAAAAGATTAGGCCTCCTTAGAATTTTGGAAAATTGAACAATTATGAATTACTAATATTAGTATTTCGCTTCATAACAACATTCTGTAAAATTAGCTCATGTAGATCACTTTAGAAAATTCACGACTATTTCCTCAAGGCGGGGGGGGGGGGGGTGGGAATTTAGTGCTAAAAATTTCGAAAGCGCTAATGAATGGATTGATTAAAAATTTGAGGAAAGTTCAATAATTAATTCTTTAATAATTATTTCGATTTACAACAAAATAAGCCTGGAAAATCTTATAACTTATTTAGATCACCTTCAACAATCCATGAATCCGTTCTCGGAGAGTTGAGAGGGGGGGGAGGATTCAGTGCTAAAAATCCACGGAATCGCGTATTGATGGTTTAACAAAGTCCGAAATTTTGTAATGAATAATTATTCCAGCAAAATAAATTGACATACTTTGTCACTTAAATCACTTTCAAAAATTCACAACTCTTTCTCCGAGGGAGGAGGGGTGGGGATAGAGGGAAGGAGGATCCGTGCTAAAAAACCTACTCAGATGGGTAAATCTGACTATCATTTTTTCAATATATTACCACCTGCCCCCCCCCCCTCCCGCGAGAAGGACGAAAATTTGAAAGTTAATTACAAGGGTTGAAAATATGCAGTGACTTGTTTATGCCTGCAAATTACGGGAATAATTTTTGAATTTTTGAAAAATTAAAATTATTTTAATGAAAATTTTTTCTCGATGGCCCTTTTTCTAGAATTTCGACATCATTAGCCCAATAGGGCATGCCAAAAAATTTTTGGAGTGCGTGGCTAAGGTCACGCCTTCACTCAAAATGAAATTTTTGTCGCCCTCCGCCTCCCCCTCCCCCCCCCCCCCCCCCTCCCTCCGAACGGAAATCCTGCTTAGACCACTGCTTGCCACGACTGTTTGGCATAACATCTCCTCAATGGTCTTCTATTTTTCTTGTTTTTATAGGAAAGTCTGCCACAAACTGGGCGATGGCTTATGTTGTGCTATTAGTAGACCGAAGAAGAGAATATAAATATTCTAAGGTTATTTGAAAAATTCTGGTGCATTAGCATGCCTTGGCTATGTCTAAATTCAAGCACACGTCTATGCAGAGTAAGTAAAAGAGCTGTATATCCCGTTATCAATCACCGGAAGAATTACCGTAACCCTCATACCACGAAACGAAGATGGACTAGCCGTCAAAGTTGAAAACTTGGCATTAGTTGGGATTAGAGACGCCGAGGGAAATGTTTTCTGTCAAAACTATGTGGAGCTGGCCAACACTTAGTTTTTTGTAAGTGGAACAATTCCCTTTCATTTTGCCGCTCTTTATTTTATTACATGGAAATCGCTCCCAAGGCTGATCTTTTGAACCTCCTGGTGGGGCCCTATATTCGACTTTTCTAGCTTAAGTTTCTAGGAGAAATATTGGATAAGGATATAAATTTCACGAATACCGTTACATGAGCCCATATATCTCAAGAAAAGTATGTTTGCTTTGTAGAAAGTTTATGGATTGGGAGCCCTTTCATTTGTTCTATGTCTGTACCATATATCATGGCCACAAACGACCTACATTTGTCTTAATAATAGCATACTTTGTCTTCTTGTTTTTTCTTTTTCTTTTACTTGCTCTCTCTTCTAGCTCTACATCGTTTTCTGCGAGTGTATTGCTTAGCTATTGGTTGCATGTTCGTGGCAAGTTTATAGCAGCTGTAAGTTGTGGAATTTTTTGATTAAAGATTACGAAAATACCAGTTGTTAGAATCATAACTGTTTGAAATAATCCAGACTGAATTTATATCGGTCTGATTCAACTATAAATGACCTCTTTTGATCTACATTCGCTTTTATGGTAATTCTTTTGGTATAGAAGGTATATGTGAGCCATATATAGTGTGTGCCAAAAGGTGTGAACTAATTCAGTTTTTTTTTTTGAATTTTATATCTCAAAATCTCAACAGTCTTCTGAGATCATAGACTACAAAATTTTTCTTGGTTTTTCAAACAATAAAAAAAATTATGGACCACTCCTTCATCAACTTAATGACTCCTGTCCCGCTCCCCTCCGAGGACTAAAGTGTCGAAAGTAATCTTGAAAGTAGCTAACATGAGCTATAAATTTGTGCAAATAACTTTTTCATTTATATATACCTATAGATCTCATTAAAAGGAGATCAGCCTCGTAGAAATTTTTTTCGTTGCATGATTACTGCCACGCCTTTTTTGAGAAAGCATAAACAACTCCCTCTTTTCAGGAACACTTCCCTTTTCAAAATTCTAGGGCTAAGGCCATCACCCAGCTAAAAATCTGGGGAACTCTCAAAACTTTTTTTGGAGGATGCCCTTCCGTACAG